ACCAGCATGGCTGATCCTTAACAATGTAAGGACTGAGTGTTGGGACATTGGGAAGGAAAGGTGGACAGAATGTGCACCTTTACATTATGGTAAGGAACTTGGCTGCTATTCTAAACTTGGCACTTGCCTCACCAAACCTAAGCATTGGTCTTAAAGCCACAGGCACCCTAATCTGACAAGTAATACCTAAATCCAGGGAGAGGGTGAGGAATGAGAAGTGAATGGAAGACAGAAACCTAATGCATTAGTTAGCAATGCTGCATAACAAGCTATCACAGAATTTAACAGCTTAAAACAACAAATATTTATTTTATGGGTTCCTGTGAGTCAGGAATCTGGCCATGAATTAGCTGGGTCCTCTGGCTCAAGATCTCTCTCCAGGCTGCAGACAAAATGCCAGCTGAGGCTGCTGTCTCATCTGAAGGCTGAACTGGAAAAGGATGTGCTTCAAAGCTCACTCATGTGGTATTGGCAGGACCCTGTTCCTCACAAATATTGGACGGAAGACTTCAGGTCCTTGCTGGCTGATGGTCAGAGGCTCCCTCAGTTGCCACATGGGTCTCTCCATCTCTGAAAAAGCAAGGAAGATAGAAGACATGATCTCTTATAACCTAATCTTAAAAGCAGCATTCTTTAATTTTTGCCATATTCTGTTAGTTATAACTAGATTCTGTCCATATGCAAAAGGAGGGGATTACACGGGGCTTGAAGACCAGAAGATGGGGACCACAGGGGGCCATCTTTAAGGCTGGAGAACACTATGTCTGACGGGGTGGGTGGCAGACAACCAGCCTGTGAAGGAACAAAACCAGAGGCAAAAGGAAAAAGTGTGAAAGAATACAGAGGAGGCGATTCACATTTCAGGTGGCAGACGATTTCAGATTCTATCTACAGGTCAAATTGAATGGAATGGAGAAGAAACTATGAAATTTGTCCATTGCAGGAGCACATGAATAACTTTTGCCTGAACCATTTTAGGGGACTGATGGGGACTAAAACCATATGGACCAGTCCTTTTTCCTTACCAACTAGCAGGGTCACCACCTTTGCAAGAGGTGACTGGGAAAAGCCAGGAAGAACCTCCTCTCCCAGCCTGGGGCTTCCCACTGTCTCCTGACAGCTCCCCCAGGAAAGTGACCTCATTTCTCAAAGACAAAACTGATTCTAGGTCATATCCCGCTGGAATGAGAGACCAATTGATGTGATTATCTCCAAGAGAAAGGGGGGCACCTACTAAAAGTAGGACCTGGTGCCCCAGAAGGGAAGACATCAGGGAACCGGAAAAGGGGTCTCTGATAATTACCTGCCAAGCTTTCAGAGTGAAGGGCATCACCATGCAATACCAAAGGAAAAAAGGAAAGAAAAACTACAAGTTTTAGAAGGTTTTTCTCCCTCATACACCCTGCATTTTCACCCTATTTAATCCAAGAAAAGAATGCTGCTCCCCATTTTGTAATACTCATTATATAGAATAGGTGGTCCTAGCAAAGATGGCCACAAAAAGGGATTTCTGTAAAGCGATCTTCATTATAAAAATCAGAGAGCCTTCACTCCCTGGATTTCACAAATATGATGCCCCACTGGCCTCAGTTAGAAACATTTGAGCTCCAGGATACAGAGAGGAGGGACACGTGCATAATTATATATATGCATACACATGTGGATAGATACATATATGTGCAGTAGTGGGCAAAGGTAGGTGTAGAGTTGTGAGTTCATGAAACACAGTTTATTCTTGTATTATTATTTATTAATTATTGTGTTATTGACCACATGAACAACTGTAAACCTAATTTTGCCTATGCCAGTACATGTGGGGAGGAGAGTTTAGAGAAATGGCTGGAGTGAAATCAAAATATGTTTGGAATAGATGTCACTGGGTGACAAAAATTACAGATGATTCTTATTTTCTTCATTATATTTTTCTGCATTTTACACAATGTGCATACATTACTTTCATAGCATAAAAATGGCTTCCTTGTTAGCTTAAGAGAGGTATTTGAGATTGAGGAATAGTGAAAAATTTTCCCAGCCTTGGCTTATGTATATAAATGTTTCTGTACCATTTTTTGAGCATCATTTCTGTCCAGCAACATGTAGTTGAATCTCTTGGCGACTGAGAGTTAATCACAGCCCTACTATGGTTTCCTCCAGGCACCTGCTGTTTTAGTCTGTTTGGGCTACTATAACAGAATACCAGACTGGTGGCTTATAAACAGAAGTTTATTGCTCACAAGGCCAAGGTGCCAGCCGACTTAGTGTCTGGTGAAGGCCCACTTCCTGGTTCACAGATGCCGTCTTCTCACTGCTTTCATGTGGCAGATGCGATAAGGGAGCTCTCTGGGGTCCCTTTCATAAGAGTCCTAATCCCATTCATGAGAGCTCCACTCTCATAGCCTAATCACCTCCCAAAGGCCCCACCTCCTATACCCCCACATTGGACACTAGAATAACATGAATTTGGTGGGGGGTGGCAGGGGAAGGGAGACACAAACATTCAGTCTATAGAACCTGCCAACCCAAGCTGTGACCAACAAGCTTTGAAATCAGAGTAGAAGATGGTTTACCTGTTCCTCAAACACAAGCACATGTCTCGAGCTAGGGAAAAATTTCCAAAATTGGCCATCAAAACCGGGGATGGAGGTGAGTTTTAGACGTAGATACAAACTGGGGTTGGGAGATGAAAATGTGAAGTGGGTGGACTGAGCAATGGGCAGTAGTGTGCACCGATTTCAGTGCTCAGACAGTAAGAGTGGCAGGTACTGGGAGTGTGTTGGCAATAAGTTGAACCAATTAAAAACCAGAATAGACAGACCACACCTCCACCTATAGCCATAATGAATTTCACCATAGACCTATGTTGAAACCAAAATCATCCTTATGTAGGTCTGACATAAGAACACGAGGTAGTTTGGCACAACAGCACTATCCAGTAGAGGTTCTCCATACACTCGGCAACAAACCAAGACAGTGAAATCCCCCAGCTGTGAAGATGAAAGCACTAAATGTGAATTAAAGTGAATGTGGATGGTTGAGTGCAGAATGTTGTCCCAAATAAGCTGTCTCTCTAGTTCTTTGTGAACCCCTCTCTGCATCTACTGGTATTAGAAAAGTTCATTCATCCACTCACTCAAATAATAAAAAAGAAAAGTAAACACTTGCACAGTGCTTACTCTATGTCAGCCACTGTTTAATCACTTTACTCTTGTTAACTCACTTAATCCATGCCACAATCCTATTATCCAGTTGACTGGCAAGAAAACAAAGGACACAGAGAAGTCAAGTGACTTTCCCAAGGTCACACAGATGGCACGTGTCAGAATCATAACTTGAACCCAAGTTGCTCGGCTCTAGAACCTTGACCATGATTTGAGGGGTCTACCAAATGCCTAAGTGAAGATGCCAATTCTCGAAGGAAACAAGGTAGAAAATGACAGGGGAGGGACAGAGAGTAGCTCTCCCTTTTGTCTTCCCCAGACTCTGACCTACTTCCTATGTTGGAGGAATTCCCCATATGAGTCTCAGTGGAAAACAAAGTCTTTCTTCCCCCATGGAAACAAGAAATTCAGACATGACACATTTTTCCCAGCTCTCCTTGCAGCTAGAGCATAACCATGTGGCATGGGTTCAGGCACTTAGATGCAGCCACCCTGGAGCCTGGGAACTAAGGAGACAAAGAAGCAGGTACCATGGAGAACCCACTCAGTTGCTGCTGCAGTAGCAGTGACATCACAGGGACAGCCGATGCAGCTGAGAGCTTTGCAGTACTAACAATGGTGTCCTCAAGGGCTGCCACATTTATTTGTTTTGTTTCACTTTGTTTTGGCTGTGATGGTGAGATCATCTTTTCTGTGTCTTGCACTAAAAATCCTGAGTGATGGGAGAGACTGAGGCTTAGATATAGTGCTAAGGAAAAACCCCTTGGAGAAGGTGATACATAAGGTCTATCCTGAAGGTATCCAGCCATGTAATGTGACAAACAGACATTTATTGAAGAAGATTCAAAATACAAGAAACATTGTACAAAGGACAATGACATCTCAGTCCCTTTTAAAGTAGGCACCTTGGAACCTCACACAGTTCTCCCAAGTGCCATCAGCTGCCCTGTCATATTTTCCTGAATCTCATCAATGATCTGAAATCTCTTCCTTTTCAAAGGTGATTTTAGTTTTGGGAAAAGCCAGAAGTCACAGGGCACCAAATCTGGGCTGTAGGGGGACCGAGTCACCTGGGTGGTTTGATTTTTCACCAAAAAACTCTACACCAGACATGAGGCATGAGCAGGAGTGTTGTTGTGAAGAAGCTGCCAATCACCAGTTGCCCATAGCTGTGGCCTTTGGAGTCATCTGAATAGTTTCCGTGGAGGAATGTTCAAGCTTAACGCAAAATTTGATGCAGATTTGTTGCTCTACTCGCTCAGTCACTTTGAATGCAACAGCACACAATACATATGCCCACTCCGTGGTGTCTACCACCCCCACTGACTAGTACAGTGAAGTTGTCATTGTTTTCAAATGGGCATTCCAGTCCACTCTCCTTGGCTACCAAGTTAAATGGATGTTGCACAAACTCTTCCCATTATGACAATGGCTGGACTTTTTCCAGACAGACCTTGTACAAGCTGTGTTCTGAAGACTGAAAAGCAACCAACCATGGAAAAACATGAAAAACAGTGTGCCACACAGAGAGAGCAGCAAATCCAGAGCTTTGAAGTGGGCAAAGGCCTGTGTTGCTGGAGGGTAAGAGGCAACAGGGAGCGGTGGGTTAAATGAGGCCATCTTTCTGAAGGAGCCAAAGTTCCAAGCCACCTCTGCTGACCCCTCCCCCACCTCTGGAACTCTGGTCTGTGCTCTTGTCGCCGTGGTCATGGTGATGGGCACTCTGTTTCACTCTCACTCTTCAAGCCAGGAAGGAAGTGTGAGTGGTTGGGTTCAGGGTGAGGGGTCCCTGCCTCTCCCTGTGGATGACCCAGTCCAGGCCAGCGCTCCAAGCAAGGGACCATGCCCGTGTTGGCACCCCCGGTTGAGTACAGCCAGAACACACGCGTCGGGGCTCCAGCATGGCGCGACGCGACGCTGGCCCAGGCGCTGAAAGCACACCAGCTGACAGACCGCTGCGGACAGGAGGCAGTGACCATGTGGCAACCCAAAGACAGCGTGCGGGACCCACACGTGGCACACCACCTCTGCCGGGCCGCCTACATCCGGCCCTGGCGCTTCCGTTCGGAGATGGTTAAAGGCCGTGGCACCGTGGAGATGCCGCCGCCGGACGAGGGAGTCACACTGTGGAAGAGCAAAATGAAGCCGCCCGCCTGGCATGCACACCTGCCACTGCCCCTGAATCGTGATGCGCGAGCCCTGCAGACCGCGGAGGTGGTGCAGGCGCACGCACGCGGGGCTCGCCTCACCGCTGCCCGTCTGGGCCGCGCACAGCAGCAGATCAATGGGCAGCTCCGGCTGCTGCAGCGCCAGCGCGAGGCTACTGACCACAGGCTCAGTGAGGTGCGCAAGGGCCTGCTAATTAACCAACAAAGCGTCAAGCTGCGGGGCTACCGGCCCAAGTCTGAGAAGGTGGGACTACCTCCCCACTCCCTGCCCCAAACCCGGTCTGAGACTGAGGCCTTCACTCGGCCTGGAGAAAACCCACCCCTTAGAGAGAACATCCCTCCCAAGCCCCAGTTCTAGGAAATAAGGGCACAAGAAGATATGACACCCCCAAGATGAGGTTCCTTGGTCTCCAACCCCAGAGAAGAAAACCCTCCCCATGGGGATAAGAACCTCAGCCCCTCACCTCAGAGGGAATATGTTTCCCAGTCCCCTAGACAGGAAGAGAGAATGGGGCCCCAGTGTCAAACTAGGTGAAATCTTCCCAAAGAGTGAAACTCATAACCCCCAACCCAGGCATGCAGTTACCACCCCACCCACAGGCCCACAGAGTGAGACCCCCTGTGATCATGAACTCTCAATGCCCAAACCCAGTGACATACCCAGCTGAGAAAAGGGGGCGATGTTCTGGTCCCAACCCATGAAATTCTCCTCAAAAGGTTAAAAAATAAAATAAATAAAAATAAAAAAAACCTCTCCCCAGCCTCAGTGAGTGAGAACCCCTTCCCAGTCCTCATGGGGGGAGAAAGGGACAGGTCCTGCCTACAGATTGAGACCCTCAGACTCCCAGCCCCCACACCCAAGAGTTAAATTAAGCCCAGCCAGGGAGGAAGAGAGAGACCTCCTACCTAGTCCCAGTCCTGTGAAATCTTCCTCCAAAATAAAACCCTAGACTTGTACCCCAAGCGGGGGGTCTCCCACCTTCCCTAAGGAGATGAGACCCCACTCACAGGGTGGGATTCCCAGTTCCATCCCCTAAATTCAGAAAGTAAGACTCCAAAAAGGCAATCTGTCATCATCCCTATAATGAGATTCCTCACATCTAGCCAGGGAGTGGGGATAAGACCATCACCAAAGAAGGGGGACCCCAGCCCTAGAGAAGCTTTCCCCCAAGGTGAAGTCACCTTCATCCCAGCTCACTGAACTCCTACCTATAAAAGGAAACACCCCAGCCCCATTCTCTAGCCCCGAAAAAGATAAAGACTTCTCAGAGAGACCCCCACAGGGTGGGACTGCCCTCAACTCCATTCTCCAAACCCAGAGTTTATGAGATTGGCAAACCTTCTACCAACCTGGCCCTCTCCTGAGAGTGTGAGAGATTCTGTCCTCACTTTCCAGATCCCTGATAAAGCTGACAGTATGCTTACCTGGGAGAAAGAGGAGTTAATGAACATGAAGAGGAAAATGGAGAAAGACATGGAAAACTCAGAGGCCTTGCTCAAGGTTGAGAATACCTGGGACCCAGTGAAGAGGGCTGGAGGAGGACCCCTGGCTGCCCAGTGGGCAAACTGCTCTGACCGTGGGGACTAGCAACAACAAATGTGTCCACCCACCCACACTGACTTGACAATCACTGTGTTTCCACTTTGCCCTGAGGGATGGAGCTGGGCCTCAGAATAACAATGAACACCCCCTCTGTGCCAAGCCCTGTGAGTCATTAGGTTAGCTCCTTAAAGCAGTCCTGTGAAATAGACACTGGTCCCCTTATTGGAGATGGGGAAATTAAGGCTCAGAGAGGGATGGCTTCAGCCAGGGCACAGGACCTGCCAGTGCCAGGATTATGGTTTCCGATCAGGTATCTTTTTTTCCCAGCTTTAGTGAGGTATAATTAACCATTTTTAATTGTATGTATATTTAAAATGCACAACCCAATGATTTGATATATGTATACACTGTTACATCATCACCAAAATCAAGGTAATTAACATATCCATCACCTCACATACTTTTGTGTGTGGTGAGAACCCTTAAGATTCAACCTTTCAGCAAATTTCAATGATAAAACACAGCATTGTTAACTACTGTGGCATTGTTGTGCATTAGATCCCCAGGACTTACTCATCTGGCGTAACTGAAACTTTGTATCTCTTGACCAACTCCCCATTTCTTTCTCCCACCAGCCTCTGGCAAACACCATTCTACTCTTGGCTTCTATACATTTGTGTTAGATTCCAAATATAAGCAAGATCATGTAGTATTGGTCTTTCTGCATCTGGCTTATTTCACTTAACATAATATCCTCCAGGTTCATCCATATTGTCACAAAAGGCAGGGTTTTCTTTCTTTTTAAGACTGAATGCTTTATTTTGTAATGATAGAAGTAGGATTTGGATGGGGGTGAGGGTCCAGATGCAACAGATCTGGGGAGAGGTATTCTGAGGCCCACTGAGAACTCCTGCTACTGATTAGAGAAGAGAAAGGGAGACCTGAGGCTAAGGATGGGATGAATGCAAGTGGAGGCAGAAAGGGATGGTACAAGAAGACAGAGATGTGGGTGTAGGCCAGTGCTACCTCTCCCCTTTACAGATGTCCCCATCGATAGGGCAGGGGCTTTCTCAGGGTGTCAAGGCAAAGCCAGACACAGAACCTCAGGAACTGACATCCAGGGCAGGGAAGCTGCCACAGCGCACACTACTCCTCCCCACCCCACTTCCAGAGTCAATGGAGGCTTCTGAACAGAGGCCGAGAAGGTGGGATGTCTGAGCCTTGATTTGGAAATCCTTCCTTTCTCACCCCAACTAGAATTGGAGAGTGTCAAAAACGCTTTGCAGCCTCCAGCAGAAAAATCAATTCCAGCCACCTCCCCCAACCTCCCAGCATACCGTCTGCCTTCATCTCTGCCTCTCTCTCTCTCCTTCCTTGGCCCCAGAGCCTGGCCTCCTGCCGAGACACTCTGGCCTTCTATTGTAAGGAGAGGCTCCAAGCTGTGGACTTAATGAACAAGCCATTGGACAAGGTTCTGGAGCAGGCAGGCCGCCACTCCTGGGTGAACCTCTCCCACGTCCAAACCCCCAGCACTCAGGGTCAGAAAACACCTCCTCCAGACCCAGTGGGCACGTATACCCCAGGTAGGCCCCCACAGAAAGGAATCCACTATAGTGGGTGCCCACCAGCTCCCCTCCACTTCTCAGCTGCCCCTTTTCTGGGGAACTTTGCCCCGAGACCAAATGAGAGGGCTGAGAGCCAGCCCCCTTCTGGATTAGGTCTCACCCTGCCTACTCCTGCTTCCCACACACACTCTCAGTCACTCCTGGAAGCTACTCATACTCCTGCCCTGGACTTTCTTCCAGTCCCTCAGTAAAGCCCTTCATCTATGGCCCACCATCACGTGACAACAGAGGGACAGAGAGCCAGGGTGGGAGAAAGGAGGGTTTGGCGCCCCACACGCGTCCCACCCTCCCGCAGAGTGCGCCTCGGCGCTGTGTGAAGCCAAACGACTGTTGATGGAGTCCAAGGACACCTTGCAAGAAATGGCAAAGGAGGAGGAGGAGATTCGGGAGAAACAGCAGCTGATAAGCGATCGCGTATGCGCCTCGCTGACCCAAAAGATGCGCGAGACCTCAGAGCTGAAGGTGTGCGCGGTTGCGGCTCACAGGCAGTGGCTGGGGGCTAGGGCGGGGGAGCATCAAGGCCAGAAAAGGGGGTCGCAGGAAGAGAGGGGACTGGAAGCCAACGTGATCCCCCTGCACTCCCACCCACCCAGGAAAGAATGAACATGACCTTAGGACTAATGAGGGGAACTATCCACCGGTGCAAGAAATTCAACCAGGAGATGTATGTCACCCACGACCTTGTCAAAGTACGATTTGGGAGAAGGGTCTGCGGGGAGGAGGCCAGGGATGCCCGCGTAGGCTGGACCTCACTCTTCGGCAAACCGCACTCCTCCAGGGTCCTCTGTCAAAAAGTCACCTGGAGACTCGAGAGAAGCTAGACAGACCCACGGTTCGTGTGTACCAGAGACACGTGGGCACCCAACTCCCCGAGGCCATGCGGCTGGCCCAGGTGCGTCCCTCTCGGTTCCCCTTTCTCCTCTCTCCTCCCTCTCTGAGGGGAGGCCCCGCCCTGGTAAGACTTGCTCAAGCACACCTGGCCCAGGTATGATCCTCTCACCCAGGTTTGTCATTCCTTCAACTACTGCCCAAATGAGTCCCCGCAAATAAGTCCCAGGTCTCAAATAAGTGCTCTCAACCTCTGTCCGCCTCACACCTACCCACTTGCTCATGATACCACTCCTCTCTCAATCCCGGCCTGCGCTGCTCCTTGCACATTTTGCCCAGATGCTCGCCCTCATCCCACATCCAACCCCCCTCTTAACCCCGCCCGGTCGCTGGTTCTTTTTCAGGCACATCTGGCCCAGGTGTGTCTCCCTCAGTCCCAAGCAAGGCCTGCCCCTCCCCAGCTATGCTCCTGTCCAGGCGCGGCTCTTCTGTATGCACGCCTGGTCCAGGTGTGTCCCCCCATCTGAAGCCCACCACTTCTTCACTGTGCTCTTTCACACGCGTACCTGTGCCAGACGTGTCTGCCCACTTCTCCCCCTTCTGGCTACGCTTCATGGGTCTCCCAGCATGGCCCCGCCTCCTCTCCAGGGCACTGACAAGCTGCAGCGCCACATCTCACGCTTAGAAAAGAACCTGGAGGATATGCTCACCATGCACAAGAGCCTCGCGGACACCCTCAACTGCAAGAAGATCGGGCATGATGTGGACTACAACGTAGTGCGCCTGCGCCTCCGCCAGCGGCACCCGCACGTGTGCTACCAGCAAGCACAAGATCTGGCCAGAGACTGGGACCCACGCACACCGCCACCACGCGTGTAGTCCAGCAACGTCACGGAATAACAGGTGCACCCCCTGCCCCAAAGGCAGGCCCCGCTTGCATGGGCTGGGCCCTTGGAAACACACAGCCTGGTGGCCTTCCCTGTCCCCTGACTTACCCTCCTTCCAAGTGTCCTCTAGCAGAATTATGATTAAAAATAACAATCATTACATTTATTAGACACCTGTCATATATCAATCCTTTACCCTACAGTGTGTAATGGGTGGTGTATCCTGGAAATTAACAAGATGGGTTTGGAACTGACCATGCGTGTGCCCAAAGTGGCCTTCACGAATATTGTCTTTTTGGCAAAGGCAACTAGTCACATAGCCACAACATTTTACAAAGAAGGAAATGAAGTTCAGGAAGGTGAACTCATTTGCACAGGGCCACAGAGCCAGAGAAGGACAAGGTGGGTCTAAACTTGGGTCTGCACTCTCCCTTGCTCCACACTGCAAGTGTTGACCATGGGCTCATCATGATCTTCCTTGGTCTCCATAACCAAGTCAAGATGGTGTCAATCATGCCCATTTGACAGGAAATACACAGAAAATAAGTAGCTGCCTATGGGGGATTACAGAGCTGAGAAAGAGTAGGACTGAGGGATTCAAATTAATCATCTCTGACTCTGAACCATCAGGCATGACAGCCAGCTTCCTTATCTCAAGAAGGACTTCACAGACTGGGGGTCACCAGAGACTCCTGGGTGTCAAGAACGTTCTTCCTCCCTGTACCAATCAGGGTACCAACAGGAAGCAGATAGCACATGCAATGTGAAGGAAGTTTAACAAAGAGATGATAACCCTCATTATTTGAAGATACTGTATTTGTGAATTTGCCTAACTCACTAAAATTTATTCATAACCTCCCCCAAATTAATACTCTAGTTGCTTGCACGGTCATCTGCAGACATGCACAGAACAGCGGAAGATTTTAGTGGCCCAACATGGTCATATAAGCCACAGTCAAACAAGGCAACAGTTTGCCTTCTTGTTTTAGCTCTCTTATTTAAGAAAGCTTCCAAATAGAATATTACTCAGTCTTTTAAAAATAGTGACATTTTGCCCTGACAGGTATGGCCTAGTTGGTACAGCATCATCCTATAACCAAAAGTTTGCATTTCAATTCCCAGTTGGGGCACGTACTTAGGTTGTGGGCTTGATCCCCAGTCTGAGTGCATATGGGAGGCAACCAATCAATGTTTCTTTCTCACATCAGTGTTTCTCTCTGTTCCTTCTTCTTTCCCTTCCTCTCTTTCTAAAAAAGCAATGAAAAAATATCCTCGGATGAGGATAAAAAAATTTTTTGAAGAGTTCTTGCCATGTGTGACAACATGGATAGGCCTAGAGGGTATTACACTAAGTAAAATGAGTTGGTCAGAGAAAGACAAGTACCATATAAATTTACTTATATGCAAGGTCTAAAAAACAAAACAAATGAATAAATAAAACAAACAAACTCATACAGAAAACAAATTGATGGTTCTCAGAGGGGAGAGGGATGGTAGATTGGCAGGCAAGTGGAACGGGATTAAGAAATACAACTTTCAAAAAAAAAGAAAGAAATACAACTTTCCAATTATAAAGTAAGTCATGGGGATGTAATGTGCAGCATGAAGAATAGTGTCGATAATATCATTATAACTTCCCATGGTGACAGGTGGTTAATAGGCTTTTTTGTGGTGATCAATTCATAAGGTGTATAATGTTGAATCACTATGTTGTACATCTGAAACAAATAAAATACTACATGTCAACTATAACTTTTTAAAAACCAAGCATCCTTTCAAGGTATAATTAATGCCATGGGGTGTTGGTTTGTTTGTTGTTGTTTTTGTATTTTTGTTCTTTTCATGGATGATTTTGCTGTTTAAAATGAGCCTTAAGTGTACTTCTGAAGTGCTAGCTAGTGTTCCTTAGGCTAGAAGGCTGTGATGTGCCTTGCAAAGAAAATGCGTGTGTGAGACAAGCTTCACTTGGGAGTGAATTATAGTGCTATTGTCCTCAAGTTCAATATTAGTGACCCATTTTAGTATATAATATATTTTTATTGAACAATATGTATTAATGAAGGCATCTTTAGACAGAAACACACATAAAACAAGGCTATGAGTTGAGAAGTTGACAAAAACTGCCCCTAGAGCACAGTCCTACCTTCTCAGTCCATTTAGGCTGCTCTAACAAAATATCACAGCAAACAAACAGCTTATAAACAGCCAATATTTACTGCTCACAGTTCTAGAGGCTGAGAAATCCAAGATCAAGACGCTAGCATGGTCACATTCTGGCGAGGGCCTGCTTCTTGGCTCATAGCCACTGCCTTTTCCCTGTGTCCTCACATGGTAGAAGGGGCCAGGGAGCTCTGTGGGGCCTCATTTATAAGGACCTCAATCCCACCCATGGCAGCTCCACCCTCATGATCTAATCACCTCCCAAAGGCCCCACCTCCTAATACCATCATCTTTGGGGGTTAGGATTTCAGCATATGAATTTGGGGAGAGGATACAAACATGCAGACCATATTTCTCTGACCTAGCCATCTTCTGCTCCCCCATCAACTCAGGCGATTTCTTCTCCCCATTTTGACACTTTGAGCTTTGAGCTTCAGCGTTTTAATTTCCATATGAGTTTCCTATTGCTACTGCAACTACCACAAATGTAGTGGCTTAAGACAATGCAATTTTAGCTCTTACAGTTCTGGAAGTCAGAAGTCCCAACTGGATTTTACTGGGCCCAAATCAAGGTCTCCACAGGACCACGGTTCCTCCAGAGCAGAGACTCTGGGAAAGAACCCATTTCTTTGCCTGTCCCAGTTTCTAGGGACTGCCTGCATTCCTTGGCTCACAGCCTCTCCCTCCTTCTGCAAAGCCAGGGGCAGCATCTTTAAATCTTTGACTCCAACTCTTTGCTTATATCATCACACCCCTGTCTTCTAACTTCTGACCTTTTTACCTGTCGCTTATAAGGAGCCCTGTGATCACATTAGGCCCACCCCAGTAATTCAGGATAATCTCCCCATCTCAACATCATTAATTACCTCTGCAATGTCCTTTTCTGCCATGTAAGGTGATATATTCACAGGTTTCAGGAATTTGGACACAGACATCTTTGAGAGTGAGAGGGGAGCATTTTCAGCCTACACCAGTTCCTTCCACATTTCAAACTTTCTTTTTTTCTTTTTTATTAAATTTATTAGGGTGACATTGGTTGATAAAAATATATAGGTTTCAAGTATACAATTCTATAATACATCAACTGTATATCATACTGTGTGTTCACCACCCCAAGTCTCCTTCCATCACCATTTATTTTCCCTATACCCTCTTCTACATCCCCCTCACCCTTTCCTTCTGGTGAACACCGTACTGATGTCTGTGTGTATAAATTGGTGTTTCATTTTGGTTTTTTGCTTAATCTCTTCACTTTTTTTACCCAGCCCAAAATCCCCCTCCTCTTTGACAGCTGTTCAGTCTGGTCCCTGAGTCCAGAGAGTCCATTTCTATTTTTTAATTATATTTTATTGATTATGCTATTACAGTTGTCCTGATTTTCCCCCATAGTCCCCTTCCACCCAGCACCCCCACTCCCTCAGGCAATCCCCCCACCATTGTTTATGTCCATGGGTCATGAGTATAAGTTCTTTGGCTACTCCATTTCCTATACCATACTTTACATCCCCATGGCTATTCTGTAACTACCCATTTGTACTTCTTAATCCCCTCACCTCTTCACCCATCCCCCCACACCCTCCTTCCCATCTGGCAACCACCAAAATGCTCTCCTTATCCATGATTCTGTCTCTGTTCTTGTTTGTTTAGTTTGTTTTTTAGATTCAGTTGTTGATAGATATGTATGTATTGCCATTTTATTTTTTTTGTTTTTTAAAAGATTTTATTTATTTATTTTTAGAGAAGGGAAGGGAGGGAGAAAGACAGGGAGAGAAATATCAATGTGTGGTTGCTTCTCACATGTCCCCCTGCTGGTGACCTGGCCTGCAACCCAGGCATGTGTCCTAAACTGGGAACTGTACCAGCAACCCTTTGCTGGTGCTCAATCCACTGAGCTGCACCAGCCAGGACCAACTTTATTGCTCATAGTTTTCATCTTTTTCTTAAATAAATGAGTCCCTTTAACATTTCATATAATAATGGCTTGGTGATAATGAACTCCTTTAGTTTTTTCTTGTCTGGGAAGCTCTTTATCTGCCCTTCAATTCTAAATGAAAGCTTTGCTGAGTAGAGCAATCTTGGCTGTAGGTCCCTGCTTTTCATGACTTTGAATATTTCTTGCCAGTCCCTTCTAGTCTCCAAAGTTTCTTTTGAGAAATCAGTTGATAATCTGATGAGAACTCCCCTGTAGCTAACTAACTGCTTTTCCCTGGCTTCTTTTAAGATTCTCTCTTTAGCCCTGGCTAATGTGGCTCAGCAGATTGAGTGCCAGCCTGTGAACCAAAGGGTTGCCAGTTCGATTTCCAATCAGGGCACATGTCTGGGTTGTGGGCCAGGTCCCCAGTAGGGGCCCTGTGAGCATCAACCACACATTGATGTTTCTCTACTTCTCTTTCTCCCTCCCTTCTCTTCTATCTAAATATAAATAAATAAAATCTTTTTGAAAAAAACATTCTCTCTATCTTCAACCTTTGGCATTTTACTTATGATGTGACTTGGAGTGGACCTCTTTGCATCCACCTTGTTTGGGACTCTCTGTTCTTCCTGGACTTGCATGTCTATTTCCTTCACTAAATTAGGGAAGTTTTCTTCCTTTTTTTTTTCAAGTAGATTTCCAATTTCTTTCTCTTCTCCTTCTGGCACCTTTATGATGCAAATGTTGGACCTCTTGAAGTTGTCCCAGAGGCTGCTTATATGTTCCTCTCTTTTTTGGGGGGGGCATTCTTTTTTCTTCCTGTTCTGATTTGGTTTTGTGTTTATTTGTTTGTTTGTTTGTTTGTTTGTTTTGCTTCCTTATGTTCCAAATCATTGATTTGATTCTCAGCTTCATCCACT